TGGCTGGGGTGCAGTTGTGCGATCTCGGCTCACTCCAACCTCCGCCTCCCAGGTTCAAGCAATTCTCCTGCCTCAGCCTCCGGAGTAGCTGGGACTACAGGCACACGCTGCCATGCCCAGCTAACTTTTTTTGTATTTTTAGTAGAGATGGGGTTTCACCTTGTTTCCCAGGCTGGTCTAGAACTCCTGAGCTCAGGCAATCCCCTCACCTCGGCCTCCCAAAGTGCCAGGATTACAGGCGTGAGCCACCGTGCCTGGCCTTATTTCAGTTTTTTGAGACAGAGTCTTGCTCTGTTGCCCAGGCTGGAGGGCAGTGGCATGATCTTGGCTCACTGCAACCTTTGCCTCCCTGGTTCAAGCAATTCTTGTGCCTCAGCCCCCTGAGTAGCTGGGATTACAGGAATGCACCACCATGCCCATCTAATTTTTGTATTTTTAGTGGAAATGGGGTTTTGCCAAGCTGGCCAGACTGGTCTCGAACTCCTGGCCTCAAATGATTTGCCCGCCTTGACCTCCCAAAGTGTTGGAATTACAGGCGTGAGCCACCGTGCCCCGCCCACTACCAGTCTTATTTATTAGAAAAAGTCATGGGAAGCTATCAAGCTTATATTGGGAGATACAAGTCAGTTGTCAGAAATTCTGTTTGACTTAAATGCTTGAGTTTTATTAGGCCGGGCGCGGTGGCTCATGCCTCTAATCCCAGCATTTTGGGAAGCTGAGGCGGACAGATAGCCTGAGCTCAGGAATTCAAGACCAGCCTGGGCAACATGGTGAAACCCTGTCTCTACTAAAATACAATAAATTAGCTGGGCTTGGTGGTGTGTGCCTGTGGTCCCAGCTACTCAGAAGGCTGAGGCAGGAGAATCGCTTGAACCTGGGAAGCAGGGGTTGCAGTGAGCTGACATCACGCCACTTCTCTCCAGCCTGGGCAACAGAGTGAGACTCCGTCTCCAAAAATAAAAATAAATGGTTGAGTTTTATCATAACGGACAATGCTATCAGACTCAACTTTATTTTTAAGAACATGTCGGCCGGGCACGGTGGCTCATGCATGTAATCCCAGCACTTTGGGAGGCTGAGGCGAGCGGATCACCTGAGGTTGGGAGTTTGAGACCAGCCTGACCAACATGGAGAAATCCCGTCTCTACTAAAAATACAAAAATTAGCCGGGTATGGTGGCAGATGCCTGTAATCCTAGCTACTAGGGAGGCTGAGGTAGGAGAATCGCTTGAACCTGGGAGGCAGAGGTTGCGGTGAGCCGAGATCGCACCATTGCACTCCAGCCTGGGCAACAAGAGTAAAACTCCGTCTCGGAAAAAAAAAAAAAAAGAAAAGAACATGTCTGCCAAATATCCAGTGAACAACTACAGTCTGTTAGCTGTTCTTTCAAAAAAAATGGTGTTCCATGAAGAAAGCTATTAACTCAGCTCCAAACTCAAATTACAAAAGTGCTTTTCCTCAAGACAAATGTTGTACTTAAAAGTGCTTGATGCATACATACATACATTTAATCACATAAACATGTGTACTTAAAGTAATTTTTATTGTCTTCATCGAAGACCTCTTAAATGAAACAGGTGTTTTTGGTGTTTTTTTTTTTTTTTTTTTTGAGACAGAGTCTCACTCTGTTGCCCAGGCTGCAGTGCAGTGGTGCGATCTCAGCTCACTGAAACCTCTGCCTCCCAGGTTCAAGTGATTCTCCTGCCCCAGCCTCCTGAGTAACTGGGATTACAGGCGCGTGCCACCACGCCCAGCTAATTGCTGTATTTTTAGTAGAGACGGGGGTTTCACTATGTTGACCAGGCTGGTCTCGAATTCCTGACCTCAAGTGATCCGCCTGCCTCGGCCTCCCAAAGTGCTGGGATTACAGGTGTGAGCCACTGCACCCGCCTGGCCTGAAACAGGTGTTTTTTTGTTTTGTTTTGTTTTTTTTACTGTGGCAGTGAAGAATACCTTGACCTCTAGTACAGCTTGGTGCAGTTGCCTTGATTTGTGCTAAGGCAACAGTTTTACCCATTGCTACTTTTGTATCATTGTGCAAATGTCATCACAGTGACAATGCAGATAATGTCTTAGTATTATTAGGAAAATCATTTTGACCTCAGGCACTCCACTATCCCCCCAGCCCAAAGGGTCTCAGAGATCCCTAGGGCTTTCCAGGCCACACTTTTTAAAAAAATTTATTTATTTTTTTGAGATGGAGCCTCACTCCGTTGCCAGGCTGGAGTGCTGTGGCGCGATCTCAGCTCGCTGCAACCTCCAACTCCCTGGTTCAAGCGATTCTCCTGTCTCAGCCTCCTGAGTAGCTGGGATTACAGGTATGCACCACCACATCCAGTCAGACCGAGTTTCACCATGTTGGTCAGGCTGGTCTTGATCTCCTGACCTCGTGATCCACCTGCCTCGGCCTCCCAAAGTGCTGGGATTACAGGCGTGAGCCACCACACCCAGCCTCCGGGCCACACTTTTGAGAACACAGATCTAATACATGCTCACAGCATTGAGAAACTTTTCCTCCTGTATTGCTATTCTGGGAGCATCCCTTCCATTAGAAGTTTTAAGTGGCTCCCAAATTCTTCACTCAGCAAAAGCACCTTGTTATGGAACTAACATTGAATAAGTAAAAATCTTTCTTCTCCAAGATTTTTCTTGGGGATTGCTGAGTAAGGGAATAAGACAGATAATTAGAGTTATAATGTAAGAATTCCTTAAAAAGAATTGTGTTAACTGTGATGGACGAGAGAGCTAAATTCTGAATCTAACTCTGAGGTCTTGAACCTCAGGAGACACTCCACTTCCTCTCCTTCTATCAAACCTCTTTTAAAAGTGCAAGTTATTAATAAATTGCCTTTACAGCGCCTGGTCCAGGCATTGTAGTTTCCCCCTTCCTATTGTGTGTGGGTTGTTTTTTGTGCTTACCTAGTTCTCCTATTTACAGGTGTGTAACTTGAGCCACCACTGTAGCTAATGTGTGTTTATTTTACTTGTCCTTATATTTAAATGTAAGTCTTTATCTGCCTTTGCTATGTGTTGGATGTTGAAATTGTTGATCTTATTTTGGGAGACTCCCATCCTCCCCCACAACCCCGCAAGTAGTTTCAAGACAGTGCACCTATGAGACTGCTTAGGAACCAAGCCTTTTGTAGTTTAGGTGCTGTTCTGTTTCCCAACGGTGTCCATCCCCATCCCTCCAGAAAGAAGTCCTTAGGACCAGTACCAACTCAGTCTGGTTTACTTCCCAAGCTGTACAATCTGCTGAACTTCATCAGTTCCGGCAGCGATCCTCTAACTTGGAAATTTCCATAAAACAGCTGAATCTCTCTTGGGTCATCAGTGGCAAAAGCCAGACACGTGCTCGCCCGCCTGGGAGCCAATAGTAACTTTTGCTGCTGCCTCCGGAAACCCCACGGTTTGCGGGCTGCTGCTTTAGGAACAACACAGAAATAACGTCTTTTAACAGAACAAAACAAAACATATGGACGGAATAGTGAGAAAGCCTTTGTCCTTCGCAGTGGGGAGAGGTGTTAAAGGTGAACCCAAAAAAGTATGGGCAACTCATGTAAAATACCTTTACAGTTCTCCGGGAAGAAGGGGGCGGAGATGGGCTCGGGAGCGTCTCTGGCCCTTTAAGTAGGAGGGACAGACATAATAGTCTGTACCTTTAAGAGTCTCTTTGTCTGGAAACCTTCTTATTTACCCTCCTGTGCTTCAACCAAACTTCGACCAGCCATTCACAACGCCCCCCTACGCCGCCGCCCCTTACGCCAAGCTCAAAGCGGCCGCGCGTTTGTGGCTGACCCTAAACTTTGCGCCTGCGGCGCGAACCCTCGGAAAGGGTGCCGGTGCCGGGGTCGCGG